CGGCCACATCACAAACAAATTTACACGTTAAACAACTTAGCTCTATTGTGGCAACCCAGTATTATGCAGGTATTATGGTGTTCACTTGCCAAACAAATTACACAAACAGTCCACAATGTTCCAAGAAATTTCCTAAACGTTGCGCACAATCAAAACTGTTCCCGTTTTAAATTGCACAATTCCACCGGATGGGACACGGGGGGAGGCGTGGGGCGTGGAGACGTGTTTAACTTTCTTCACATCTAGTCAGTCCCGTTGAGTAGGCCCAACAAATACCCGGGTTCGCGCATCTGACCAGTTCACATCGTGGTTCCATACCAAAGTGAACGTCCTGCAAAGGTACCCCTCTTCTACGAGGAAATCTGTTCACACAAACAAACCACCGTATTCTGTGGATCGAGAATACCGGTGCTAACTTTTCTGAATAATCCACAAGTATCATCATTGGGGATGAGTTCCACACCTTTGAGACTGAGACTGAATTGATACAACCTGTAATCCGAACTCCAGGGTGTGAAAATAACAACAGAGCTCTGATCGCGTACAGGCGCGTCGCCACATTGCCACAATTGGTTCGAGATTCGACAGAGTCATTCGGTGCGTGCTCAGTTCAGTTCGAACGACCATTAATCATGCACTTTTGTGCGCCGGCTTTCATTGCTGTCCTCTGGCTGCCCATTAGGATGAAGCAATAGGAGAAAGACAGGAAAAGGTTGACGGTAGGATCAAAAGGAAAATTTATTAGTGATTTTTCGGTCCCACCCCCTGCGCACCTCCCAAAGTATGCTAATGACGTGGTTTTATATCAGATAATTTCATCTCCTTCGGAATTTCATTCTTTTACTGAAAATCTATCCCACATCCAACAGTTTTCTGATTAATCTGGTCTAAATCTTAACAAACCCTCATTTCCAACGGACTCGCTACCCTTAACGATAAATCTGTATCCAGAATAACCTCAATCAAGTACCTGGGTGTCACCATCGACAGCGATCTTCATTGGTCTGCACATTTACAGCTGTATAGAAAAACTGAGATGCCTATCTTTTTAGTTACACAAACTAATTCCAAACCCGACAGTTAGTCCTGTCATCGTTCGTTCATCAATACGTTTTACCCATTCTACTTTATTGCTCCCCTGTATTGTTTTCCTGGTCTTTTAAAACAAAACTTCAAAACAATTCGTGGTTGTTTGATGATTAACAGTCGTGCATCATTAATCCCGATCGATTCATCAATCACAGAACTCACTGATGGTCACACATCAACTCTTGTGTTAAATTTGCCTATAAGCTTCTAAATGACCCTCTTCATCCATTGCATCCCGATCTTTCGTCTTGTCGTTCCCATCCGTCCACACGCTCCGCATTTCGACAGCTACCCTTTTGCATTAACAATCGTAAAAATTACCCTGTACCCTACCTGACCCAATCCTTACCGAAAACGAACAGATTGCAAGTGAACTACATCAAAAGTTTTGTACATGAAACAAATATCAACCACATTTTTTTGCCGTTCATGTTATATTTCATTCGGCGTGACGAACAGTGAAACTGAAATGTAAGCGTAGATGCTTACACAAGTTACATAAATACAAAAACGCTACTGTTTGCGACACTCCGGTATATCATTCAGTTTCTTTAATTATCGGTCTAGATCATTCTGGAGTCGCCATCCAGGGAGCCTAACAATGTCTAGGTGACCCAGTCTTCTGGTTAGGGTTTTCATACCCGCGTACCAAGTCTTATTTCGATCGACCTTGGCTTTCCGCCATTCACTACCTGCCGCGGCAAATATCGCGCGCGCCCTGGCAACCTATTTGGGGGCATGCGTAACACATGCCCCAACCCACGTAATCTATCGAGGTCGACCAGTTGTTCAAATGGGCGACCACGATTACCTAAGACTCTACGCCTTACCTCAGCATTGCTCGTCCCGTTGCCCCACCAGATTCGTGCAGTGCTGCTTAGACGGTGGTGACGCAGTGGTTTAGTCGCTGTCACCGGCGTGCTTTGGACCCTATGGTCCGAGGTTCGAGTCCCGCCACCCAACTTTTGTGGTAGGCAGCTTTGCTGTCGTCCGGTCCAATACCTCACCGAACCTATCGGAGCCTTATGTGGTTCGCCCCACTCCAAGTCCCGGGGCTTAGGTTACCAGTTTCCATCATTGAACAGGAGGTCCTCGTGACTATAATGTTTCGCCCCGTTTGCTGTTCGTCACACACATGGGTGTGCAATAAAAAATATCTGTTGCGCATCCGTATTAACCTGTTCCAATTTCAATCAATCAAACCGCTTTCCTCATTTTAATTCGATCTGTTTCTTTTGTCTTCCCTGTCGCCCCCGTTGTGCACAGAAATTTTTTATGCGACACTCGTTGACCGATACAAAACCGACCAATGTGTGCCCGACCGGGGGCAATTGTGTAGTGGCCAAAGGCAGTCGGGGCAAATGTCAAATTTGTCGCTATCGTAAATGCCTGTATGTGGGTATGAAAATGAAAGGTACGTATCTGTGACCGTATAATTGTTTGTTTGTCTGTTTGTTTTCCCCGTTCACTTTTATCCCAGTTACCCTATATGTGTATTCCATTTGGAATTGTGATTTTTATATCCATCGGCATGGACCGTCTCAGGTAGAATCGTTCGTCTTTCCTATTTCATACCACGCTTATGAGATGTCCGCCCACAGGGACAATGAGGCGACTTTTTAGAGGAAAAGATGATGTTTTCTGTGTTTCAAAATCAATCCGCTGGATATGCCCGATATACACGCCTTCAATTTGTGACAAAAGTTGTCTATTACGTTTTTTCTCGGGGTTTCGAAATCCATCGGTCTCTTCACTAAGAATTGCTTTGCGTGCGGTACGGATTGGAATAACCTGGTTATCGGAACGTTGACAAATTATGTACGAGGGCTGAGCAAACGTTTTCCGGATGCACAAAAAGTGTTATTTGCTACACAAAAATAAGCATTATTTTGTCACGAATTATCCTTCCAGCGTTCATGCGCGCTCAAACTATTTGGTTATACAGCTTGACCGTGCCGAAGCGGGTAATCTTTCTACCAGTTCAATGAAGGCCTCCACTGTAGCTGTTCTGGTGGCTGGTATCGGATTCCATGCATCATGCGCTTGACATTTGGGAGCACAAAAAATCACACCGATCAACCTCCTAGATGTGTTCTCTAGCCAGAAAATTGCCGATGAAATGGGATATGCGTGCTGGTGCGTTGTCATGGTGCACCAAGGTCCCGAGTGCTCCTGCATCCTTGGGCAAAGCCTAGCAAAGAGTATCCAGCACTTTCGGCAGACAATGAGTAGCGTACCAGTCTACAGTGAATGTGCTTTGCCCTACGGACGATATGGTAGCTACATGACCGGTTTTGGCCATGAACACAAACACCATCTACTTTTCCACACTGAGCTCGTGTAGGAATTTCTGAGGCAGTGACCCATCAAAGGTGTCCACTGAGCCGTTTGTTTTGTCTCTGAGTCGAAACCGCTCACTCAGGTCTCATCATCACTGATGATACACGAAACTGCATTGGAGCGTCC